CAACAACCACCACTAATACCCCAACTACCACTAATACCCTGAGAGTTGCCATCTCTATGCAAGGGTCCCTCTCAGTCCAGTGCAGAGTCGCTGCCATCACTGTGACAATAGCCAAGGACTTTCTTCTAAGTGCTAAGATACAGGAGAGCGCCCTGTACTTGGGCTTGCGGCCATGTGGCGTGAATGGAGGCAATGATACCCATGTCCAGCTGACCGTAGGATGGAATGAGTGTGCCACTGTGCTTGTGCATGTGAGTTTTGAAATGTTTGTGTTTTTGCATGTTTCATAGATACTGTGTATTCCAGCATTTTGTCTTTACAAGTGAAGCGATATAACTGAACAGCACTGCCTCCAACATCTGGTATTCTAGAACGAGACCTACTACACAGCATCTGTCACCCTGTTCAACACCATGGATCCGTACACCTCACGGATTGGAGCAGTGGAGGCGCCCACGGTGCTGCTGAAAGTCCCCATCATGTGCACCTACATGAAGAGCATGCTTATCTCTGCAGACTTCGGCTCCATGGGGTATGCTTCACTCGGCGTCATAGTTACTCTGTATGCTTTTGCATTTTCCAAAAATAACCCCTGCACAGCCATGTATTACAAAAAAGTGCATTGCTTGGAAAGTTGCTGCTTCAAGGAATTACGGAAGAAGAAGCTTTATTGTCATCGTACAACGAAATTTCGTCTTTGCAGCAGCTATTGTGGTCACAAGTAAAAAGATAAGAGATATAATAATAAAGTAGCGATGAAATATGGAATAAATACTCTATTAAAAGGACAAAAGAGCATTTGTTAGAATGAGTCCGTAAACTTATAGAACAGCAGTGTCTCCTTTCCTTTCATAAAGGATGGTCCAGTGCGTCCTCTGTTAAAGGAGATAAGTATGAAACATCTACAGCAAACTAAAGCAGGCAGACTATTTGACTACAACTCTGCACTCCACTAAACAACATGTTTAAGTCCTTAGAGCAAACATTTTATAAAGGAGCCTAACCCAGCTGACACTGGACGAGGAGCAGTTTAAACCAGGACGGTTATGGTTAACACAGAGATACCATGCACACTTGCACTCACACCGACGGCCAATTTAGAATCATCAATTAAGGCGACAATGCTACGTCCTGCATCGCCACACCACCCAAAGATATAATGTGTTTTATGGGTGTTTTTCCCCCCAACAAAGCTTGACTTGCTGATTCCTCCTGTTTCCTGTCTTTGCGCTACTCTACACTAACCAACTGCAATGCAACCGAATACATCCAGCATTCCAAGTCACATACCTTTTCTCCTTTCAGTACAAACTGCAGCTGCCCTGACAAAGCACAGGCAGTTGGGACACACTACTACTACACACTACTTCATCATAATATTGCGCCTTTAGCTTGACTCATCTTGCTCATATTTACATCGCAGTCTGTTGTGTGAAATGAGCTGTCAGCCGTGCACGGTGATGAATGTGATGTATGTTCCACTGCAGAGGATTGTGGGTCGGAATGGCCAGAAAAGCTGACTTGCATGCTGCAAAAGGAGACCTGCAGGAGGATATTTGTTATTTCTGGCAAGCTGCATTTGACATGCTATGCATTGGAACGTATTAAATCTGTGGCAGAATGGGGTTTTAGAAAGCACCCACATAGTACGCCAGACAGCTGAGTGAAATGACCATCAGTCTTGTCATTTACCTCTTGGTACGCAAGACAATAAAATGCAAAAGGTTTACCTCAAAAATGCCAGCATTACTTTTAAGTGGGAAAACAACAAATTAAAACATGGTTCTGTGTTAAAAATGGGTATTTAAAGAAGGAAAACAGCAAGAGAACTCCTACATCTTGTTCAGTTTTGCAGTGCATTTCTGTTGCATTCACGGCCGTACGTGTTTTGTCCTCCACCTGCAGGTATGACATGATCAAAGACGTCATCGTGGGCCTGGGGTCGTTCCAGGTGACGGTGCAGCTGATGAACGGCTCAGTGCCTCTGCCCCACAACTATAGCCTGTCCCCAGAGCAGGCGGTGGTGGTGGAGGTCAGACTCAACACCTCCTCGGAGCAGCTTAAAGTAGTCATCAACAAGTGCTGGGCCACTCCCACCCAAAGCCCCGCAGACGCCTACAGCCAAGCCTTCCTGGAGAACAGGTCTGCTCCTGCTGCAGCACTCTCACTGTTTCTAGCTGCAGGTGCTACAATGCTGCTCTTCCTCTCACCTTAGTTACAGATAAAACTTCATTTCTGTACCACTACTTTTGAGAATCTCAGCCAATAAGCATACGGGCTGATGGCAGACTTTCTCAGAGATAAATGTTTAATTTAAAAAAGTCAAAATGTACTACATTAGGTAAATTAGATTTTACTTGATCTGTTTTTTCACAAGTTAATTATTTTGTTATCACTTGGGATAACGGGGAGCTACTGTTTGCTCTTGGAAGCAAACAAAAATCCGCCTTTGATCTCAGATTATGACATAAAATGAAACTATTGCAAAGCATGTTCTCAGCTTCTGTAGGTTTTAAACATAGGCATGTTTGTTTTTCTTTTTTAATAACCAATGTGGAACTTCTATCATGCTTTTCAAAATAACATTCTAATGTAATTGATTTAATTGATATTATTAGATCTAACTAAAAAAAGGTTTGTGCAACCTTGGCACCACCTCATGTGCTGTAATTGGCCTAATGTGTAGAAGGTCTTTAAAAATTCTGTGTTATCAGAGCCACTCATGCTTTATTCATAAATCCAACATGAACATGAACTCCAACTTTTAAACTAAAGCTTTAAGCTAAACAAGCCACCTCCTGCCCGTAGCTTTGCATTTGCTGTACAAATACGTGTCTTTCCAAAAACGTCAAAATTCTTCATACCCTGTGCTGTTATACTTGATCAGTTCTTAAAGTGTCTCACATGTCCCTGCAGTGTGTCTTCCAGTGCTTCAGCTCAAAATACTGCTCAGATGGTTCATGTCACCCTGAGTGTGTAACCTCTGGTTTGGGCCGTTCAGTGAACCAGTGACCTGCTGCTGTTCCCTTTCAGGAAGACGCTCTGCATGTGTCAGCATGTGCCAGCCGGAGCTGTCAGTCACAGCTTGAGCAGGATGACTAGATGTTACGTAGCACCTGGGTCGGATTCCTCCTCACTCAGAAAGCTGGGAGGCGAGCTGTGTTAGGGAGCTCGACGAAGCAAACATCTGCATATCCGAGGAGCTTTTATTTTACACCTTCAAGTTTATAACGGGGGCTCGGTGGTTAATCCATAATGGATGGATGGAAGTTTATAATGGCCACAAAACACAAGAAAAATAACAGATCCCCCCTCTGTGGGACCTGTAGGTTAAACGAGAGATGGAAAATATGCTGACATCACCTGCTCCATAGGAGCGTCTCTGCAGCTGTGTTGACAGGAAGACGTTTTAAAATTCACAGCCAGAGGCCTGAACATTCAAATTAGACCCACTTAAGTGGAACATCTTAAAAACAACACACTACCAAATGGGTCAGTGCAGCAACTAACTCAGCGTTTGTGGTTTGTGCACAAACGTTAAGGTGACGGTGACATAATCGATTCAGTTCACAGCAGCTTATTCAGACGGTTGTCTACATATCAGAGGTGATTCTACAAACTCCAGCCTGACACTGACCCGTATTCATTTGTACTGAACATAGTTTAGTCAAAGTTCTGTTTTCAGTTCGCTGCTTGTGTCTCCACAGCTGCTCCCTGAACTCGTACACCAAAGTGCTGATGAACGGGAACTCCAGCACATCTCGTGTGTCCGTTCAGATCTTCTCCATCGTCAAGCTGAACGTGATCTACCTGCACTGCCAGGTCCAGATCTGCATCCAGATCGGGTCAGACACCTGTGTGCCTGTGAGTACTTTCTACTGCACAAACACTACCCTGAAGCATCTTGTTGTTGGAGTATTCAGGACAATATGTTGTATTACGTGATATTCTCGTGCTTTCTTGCAGGACTGTCTACAGAGAACAGCTCGGTCGGCCAAAACAATTGGAACGGCGTTCGGTTCTTTCGGGCCTGTGCTTATGTCAGAGGAAGGTGAGCACTTCTATACAGTTTGAGAGAATCTGCTCCAAGCCTTTTGAGTCCAGCCAGACATGTGTGCGTTAAAATGTGGATATTATTTGGCCTCTTCAGTGCAGCAGTTCAAACCAAATTGAATTTACGACGACTCCTGAGCGTCTGCTGCCGACACAGTGGCCGTTTTGAAAAGTAAAAAAGCTATTAAAGACTTCA